CATAGACTTGGGTATGGACTTCTTTACCATCTCCTAACTGCCATCCCCTCAGCAAAGATCTCCCATTGGAGTAAGAACAAGAGGTGACAGTTTCTTGTGACTCTCAGGATGAATCTCTTCCATGCTGCAGTTTCAGGATCCACTTCAATTAATTTTATGCATGTATGGAGTGTAACACAACAAAGCACATTCTGCATCAGTCACCATGCTGTTAAATTCAAAGTTTTCTATCAGACGGCCTCTGTTTTTTTTCCTATTAAAATCAAAACAAACAACACACTGCAAAAAAAGCAAAGCAAAAGTAGAACCTACAACTGGGTGCTCGCAGAGGTATTCTCCCCCCAAAATAGCTTCCTTAGGGGATGAACACAAAAGCTTTTCCTCTCGATAAATCCTATCGATTTATATCGATATAAGAAGGATGCAATGCCATTTAGCATCCCAATTCTGAATTTACATTATGAGGCAAGAAAGCAAGAGATCAGATTTCATCTGTAAATTAAGGAGCACAGCTTTGGACAATCTTGTAAGAACATGTTGATCTTTTTCCTCAGATTGCTTCCTTTCCAAAACATGCACAGTTCTAATTTCTGGACGTTTACAATCAATTTGCACTTTGTCTCTGCAACATCACCACTGCCAAAATTGGCATGCCATATTTCTTCTCAGCAATACACCTGTTTAAGCAAAAAAGTATATGCAGAAAGCACTTGAAGATTAAGAAGAGTGATGTAAAAAGTAATCAAAAGATAAGGAAGGGAAATGAGGTTTTAGTTAGAGCAGGCTACTAAAGAGGACAAAGCCTCCTGAGAGACTTGGCAGTTAAAATGGCAACAGAGGGCCAAAGCCTGCCACACTCTGGTAAAGCACCAAACAGTCAAGATGCAACATCTCAAAGCCAAGGTGCCCACCAGCCAGGCATTGCACACAGTATGGGCATTACTCACTCGTGTACTGCGGAGAAATAGCAAAAAGAAAGATAATTCAATAGAGCACACAGCAGAGTTCTTTTCTTCGGACGTCAACTGAGAAAGAAAAGACAAAGGCGTAAATATCCCACCAAGTCAATGTGCTGCGAGTGGGAGGGCAAACTACTAAGGAAAGTATGGATTAGTTGCTCAGGAAGATTTGTGCCCAGTGATTAATCAAGTATTAAAGGAAGCCCTGCACACTATACAGCCACAGAGTACTTTGGCTAATCAAGGGAAAGGACTGGACTAGTTTTCCTAATAGAGTTTCTGCCAATTTATATAGTACAAATAAAAAAAGAAGAGATGTGTATTTAAAGCAGATCACTTGCTATTATATATACACAACTCTGTAAACAACAGAGAACAGGAGAACAAACTATAACAGTCCCTCTTTAAGAGACCGAAAGCATAAAATATTCATTGAATACTCAGGTTTGCCCAGGGAATCTTGAAGTCACTGCTCCTGGAGGTGCTCAAGGAACACAGATGTGGCACTGAGGGACGTGGGAAGTGAGCATAATGGGATGGGTTGGGGCTGGACCTGATGGTCATTGAGGTCTTCTCCAACCTTAATTATTCTATGATTAAATTCTTAAATATTTGTCCAAAAACACCCCTTCAGATCAAACTGAAACCCTGGTAGAAATAACACAGGGACTATTTACAGTGATTTATTTGGAGTTCCAGTGGTAGACTGATTTTAAGACTACACTGCATTGTAAGTAAAATAGCACTAATCAGATGAATAGTATGCACTCTGCATCTTCCCAAATCAAGATATAATGTCAAATTGTTAGTACCCAAAAATGTGCCTGTGTATGCGTGCTGCCACCTAAGCCCAGCTAATGCATTATTTTGGAACAAAATTTCCTATTAATATCTGTGTGTGTGTGTGTGTGTGTGTGTGTGTGTGTGTGCGTGTGTGCGTGTGTATGTATATGTGCGTGTGTGTATCTTAACATCGCTACAAGCAACCTGAAATAGATGGGTGCAGTTATTTTCTTTATGGGTCTAAGGTAGAGGGAGTTATGTTGGTTGAAAACACTAACAGCCCTACTACCCCACTAACATATAAGCAGGCCAACTTGTGTTGTCCTTATGACAAGGATGCTAATGATTTGAGTGCTAACTCATGCTTTCAGAAGCAGAAACTAGCAGATCCAAGCAGTCTGAGCTCAATATTTCACGATTTGTTATGTATATGCAGTTCTTCAAATAATGGAATAGCCTGATGCTCGCCTCCAGCTCACACACTGCTCTACCATCCTGCTTGGAAAGTCTGCAAAACATGTTTCTGAAGGTCGTGTGTTACAAGACTATGAGAAAAAAATGCCCAGTTTTGCTTAAAACTCCTACTTCTAAAGCCAATTGTATATTTAGGAACAGGCACCAGGCCCACATCTTTTTAGATAGCTAAGGTTAGAAAACTGGCCAAGGGTATGCGTGTAAATACGTTGTTTTTGAAGCTAACTGCAATCTGTTTACCTTCCTCAGCCCAGAGAAGCACCTTCCTGTAAAACACACAAAAACCCATGGGTATTTGAAAGAAATGAAAACAACAAAAAATATTATCCAAGCATCGTTTAGAAGCCTCAGAGAACACTGATGTGACAACAGCTCTTCAATAAGCGATATTATTTGCCTTTTCACCCAAAGTGAGAATATCCAGCCCATGCCTGGACGGCACAGGCACACTGTGCTTCCATACCCTGCTACGTCTGCATCTTTATTCTGCAGTGCTCTACAGGGAATTTTGCTTATTTCACTTTCTGTTATGGCCAAGACAGCATTGTTTTGTGTCACTACTCTTCAAGTAACTACATGAAAGACATGTTTGTCTGCTCACTGTAATTAGGATGAATTATTGCAGAGGGTAAATGGTTGTGTAAATAGGTAAAGAATGACCTGTTTGAAAGAGAAAGGAGTGGAAGGGAAAAAACTTCTTGTGCAGACAGTGTTTAGGTAGATGAGGCTGCGGAAAGCCACACTGTCCTGTAATACATGAAGCAGCGTGGTGCAGCCAGCAGCATGGGCGGGTTTGTGCTCCATCCAGGGCTCTTTCTCAGCTCTCACCCCAGTGTTGCTGCTCAGCAGCTGCTCCTTGCTCATCCTGCAAAAGACCCACATCCACCTCCCCAGCTCTGCTTCTGCACAGAGAATCAACCAGGACTGCAACAGAGGGTATCAGGGAACCCTCAGCTGGGACTAGAGAGGAACACAGAATTACAGAATTGTAGGGGTTGGAAGGGACCTCCAGAGATCAAGTCCAACCCCCTGCCAAAGCAGGTTCCCTACACCAGGTCACACAAGTGGGTGTCCAGGTGGGTCTCAAATATCTCCAGAGAAGGAGACTCCACAACCTCCCTGGGCAGCCTGTTCCAGTGCTCCATCACCCTCGCTGTAAAGAAGTTCTTGTGCACATTTGTGCGGAACTTCCTATGTTGCAGTTTCTGGCTGCATTCCAGAACAAAGTCTTGGCTTTCCCTCTGAGCATTCTGATGAAAGGCAAGGAAGCACCAGCCAACATCCAAGCAATACCACCTGCATGCTCAGGTGCAAAAGGACCGTGCTTGTTGCTTGAGCAACAAAGAGGAGCTGAGCTCTCAGCCAGACCTCAGCTAAGATGGGCTAAGAACACAAAGCTGACCTACGAGGCTCTGTAAGGCAAACAGAAAATATCAAATTAAAGCCTCACTTATGCTTGTGCTGAAAGCCTTGCTGAATAATACTGCTCTGGTAACCAAGGGGGACAGGCTCACACTTTTACTTCTGCCTTGAGGAAATAAACACAAAATGTTCTCACAGCAATTTTTCTTCTCTGAAACAAATATTTAGCAAGCATTTAAACATAATTCAGCTGCTGCTTCACAAAATGAAGGCAGCTTAGTAACATGCAGTTGAAGATGTTGACAAACTCGGAGACACAGGTCAGCTCCGGCTCTACGATCCAAGGGGAACACCTAAAGGAAAGCCTTCCATGTACACAACATTACACCCTCCCTCACATTAGGAAAACCAACTATGTGACGAGTGCTCACATAGGTGAAAAAGACTGCCAGTAACTCCTGTTTCTCTTCAGTTGTAATGCACTTCTCATGCTCTTTGAGCACCAACCAGAACAAAGCACTTCTACAAAACTATAGGAAAAAGATTTTTTTTCCTGAACTGCTTAACTCTCCATGGAAAGAGACCTTTACGAAAACACTGGTTCTCAACAAACTCCCAGTGGTTCAGAGCGTGAGCTGAAGACAAGGGTGAGTGCTGGAACAAGCCTTCATTCTCTGGAGCTAGCTGACAAGAAGGGACCTGTCACACACATTCACCAGAGGGCTTAGAGAAACTCCTTAAGAACAATGTCATATTCCAAATCTCACTGATTTGCAAATAAGCTCCTAAGTGCTTAAATAATCTTGTGCTAGAAGTGTTGGCTGCTGCAGTCAGAAATATGCACAAAGAAAAGACTTTCAAGCAGTACTGTAAAGTAAATGGAAATAACTACCAACTGAACCAACTAGAAAATTTTGTTTTGCCAAGTCTGAAAAGGTTACATCTTAACTAGTGCTTCACATGAAGCAAGCAATTGCAATAAGACTCAGGAAGGCAAAGAAACACCAATTCTTATATAAAATAATTATGAACAATAATGAAAACTACAATTTTCAATGTTAGAAACCAATCTGAAAATAGCTTCAGTAAGCACAGGTAATTACCCAACGATTTATTTATTTCTGGCTTCGAATACTGAACCTTTAAAAGACACCAATGTTACTGACATTAGAAACAGCCTGCTAGCCCTGAGGGCTCTTGTGCTGAGCACTGCTCACACCACCATATGAATATTTACTGCCAGAATGTGCCATGCATCACCACTACCACAGACTTCAGCAGAGCTTGTTGGTGTTTGGCATTACTGACAAAGGGCCAGGATTTCAGGTGTGCCTAGAAATAGAACTCTAAGGCTAAGATTACAAAAGTAATGACAATAGTCATGTCCACCTCCCCTTCCCCCATAAACCCTGTTCTGGTTACCTGGAGTGTCAGATAATGGGAGAGAGATGAAAGGATCAGGCACAGTCAGAAGAGGAGGGCTAGCATCCAGACTCAGGATGTCTTTCATTTTTTCAGCTGTTAGCCATGAACAGAAAAGGCAGAATGAGATAGAGGGAAAAGTGGAAAACATCAAGCAATGTTCAGTTCTATGACACAGCTCAACATTACAGTGTCCAAACTATGGCCTGGCAACACACACATGCACGGTAAGAACAAGTTTGATGCTACAGAACAAACAAACAAAAAAAAAAACAACAAAACAAACAGATCTCCAACATAGCTTAACCCACAGGTCTCAAAGTATTCCTATTATTCTATTATTTCACTTTACAGCAGCACAGAAAGCGAAATGCCTTGACAAAGGACACATAGCAGGATAGCCCCCATGCCAGGCCTCTGTCTAGAAGAAGAGATACTGCAGTAGGCTCATGTTTAAGATGAAAGACAAAGAAAAAGGAGAGAAGCAACCAGCCCAGTGCCTGTGCTCAGAGAATTCCCAAACTTCAGAGACAACTACTTAAAGAAATGGACATGCTTCAGGATCCAAAAAACCCAGAACATGCAGAGACTTCTCAGGCTTTGCAGTAAGTACTTCACAGCTGAATCCAGAGCTGCTGCTGCTCAACATCAAACAACAAAGACTAATGAAATAAACTGTTCACAGGACACACAAACAGCTGGAATGCACTCTTGTGTTGTGGATTTCAACTCTATAGGTAAGAGACTACACTACCAAGCTCTGTTAGAAGCTCTTCTAAACTTCTCATCATGAATCTGTGTACCCTTATTTCTATTTGTCTATTCCTGCCCCTTAAAGAATCCTTCAAGGATTCCTCAGCCTCCTCCCGTTATGCCAACAGCTGGTCTGCTTCACTGAGGAAACATCAAACAATTGCATTTTCCACTGCATGGCTGCATGTGACAGAGGAGAGAATAACTTGCATTGCTGCTGTGAGCTGTTTGCCAATACTGTATTTTTCAGGTCACTAGCGCATTCATTGAGAACTCCTGAAGCTGAAGAAATATAAACATGCATCAAACCATGCTCTACCTTTAATGATTTTCCCTGCTCACTAGAGTCTCTGTTATTCCCTTTAATTCTGTAGCAGATACATTAGCCCTGCTCCACATGGTCTAACAACAGCTGGCAAGAGACATCCTCCAACATATGTAGTCAATGTCAAAGTCCAAATTTGTGATTGCACACTGCACATTTCAGTCCTAACAATGACGATATGTGAAACCTCAACATAAATCAGCTTCTTTGTGAATTTCACAGGTTGATTAAGTTTCTTACTGCACCAAAAGCTTCACATGTTCCTCACCAAAAGCTCCAGATGCTGCAATTAGTGGGTTTTACCTTCCTTTTAAAGAAGCTATGACAAAAAGCTGCTGCTTTCTCACAGCGCTATGCAGGACACTGCTCTGCAGGCCACACTTGGACTCACCTGATCCAGCAGTGAAGGAAGATGAGCCACCAAACGCATCTGCCTGAGCTGCAGATGAAGCTGGTTGGAGACCTGGAATCAAGTTCTCTGTAGAACTGCCCATCTTTTCTGGAGCTTTCCCTGAAATACCAGACCATAGATTTAGGGGAAAAACTTCCATTCTGAAGGTTGTTTACTCACCTATACTTCTAGGATACTACTTCAGCGAGTGACTTAAAGACTTTTTTGCAAACCACAACTTGCAGATGAAGTTGAGTTTATAGTGTAGCTTCTACAGTCAACTGAGCAGGGCCACAGTAAGAACAGTTAGTTCCTGTCCCTGAGAGAATCATGCTCAGTAAAGGTGACTGGGACTGGGAAGGGAGACTGGAAGAATTAAGCTCTTACAGCACAGCAGGTCATGATTATATAGCAATGCCCCAGAAGCATCTGACAAAGCATCACTCCATGCCACTTTTTATTTCAAGAACAGGCTGGTACTAAAGTAGACCCATGAACCTACCATCACCCAGCTTTGCAAAGTCCTTGTTCAGCAGCTCCTCAGCTGTGAGTTTGGAGAAGTTATCATCATCGAATGGATTCCAGGTGGAGACATCGGGTGGATTATAGACATTCTGCTGTGAAGTCCTTGGGGAACCCGAGGGCGTAGTGGAAGCCGATCTGGATGTGACCACGTCAAGCAAACAACAGTCATTAACAATCCACCTGAAATTCTCTAGCCAACACCATGAGTTAGTTTACACAACTGCATTATAATTACAATTCTTACTTCAAACATTTAGTGCAAGGTATTTTACTTGCACACCCAGAATGCTAGGACCAGCTGGCCTTATCTACTTGTATCTGCCTGAGCATCCTCATGTCAGGAACGAAAACTATGAAAGTCATTCGCAAGTGCTCCTGCAGAAGACCTGCTGCTAGACAGCAGGCATGAAGCATGCACCAGAGCTACTGGTGAGACAGCTGATTAGATTTAGTAATCCATTTGAAGGCCCCATTTGCTCAGCCTTCTGGGAATGAGGAAACACTCAAAAGGACTTCTGCACTTGGGGAGTTTTTCAGTGACTTTCTGCCAAGCCCTTGGCACACAGTCTTGGGGATGCAATTATTAATTTATACCAGTCTACTTTCATCTCAGAGCAGAGCCCAGGAAGACCCTAAAGAGCCTTATCTACACTCCACCCCATCCATATCCTTTGATATCAAGCAAGCAGCCACCTACTTGGACTTGTTGAGACTGGCTTCAGCAGCAGCTGCCTGCAGGAGCTGGGTAGATTTGCTGGCTGGAACCCCAAAAACAGCACTGTGAGTCACATCACTCAGAATCCTCCTGTGTCCTGCACGCTGTGTCTTGGGGGAGGATGGAGGGGTGAGAGAACCCAGCTTCTGCCCCTGAACTGCTGTAGGTGGTGTGGTTTGAGGTTTTTGCTGTTGCCTTATTTGTGCCTGCATCTAGGAGAGAGAGTAAAATGATCATGTTCTCCTTTTGTGAACAACAGCCATGGTATAAAAAAAATGCTGTGTTTTGGAGGATCTGATCTCCTAGTCACGGATCACAAATAGGCTGGAGAAAAACAACACAGAGAAATAAACGTATCTGACAAAGTGTGGGGCTAGAAATTGGTGGTCCACTGCATTTCTGCATTACTACAGTTGCACAAGAAGGTACTTTCTCCCACCTGTGGTGAGCAAAGGTTACCTGTACTCAGAAGCTTGCTGAAGGTGAAGAGGCTAAGATTCAGGGTAGACCATAAAAATCAGATCAAAGGACACAGAAATCTTGCTGTTTGGACATACGGAGCTGGACAAGGTGACAAATAGACCTTCAAATTCCTAAAGGAGTTGAGGACTTCTGCAGAAATCTTGTGCAAGCTTTCTTAGTTTTCTACCCAAGCAAACAGAAGCAACGACCTCAAGACCATAACTGACATTAAAATCCAGAGGCAAAAACCCACAAATATTCAACTACAAGCCCTTTGGAAGTTTCAAGAGGTTTCTCAAACTGATGTTATTTTTTCATTACTTCAGTCTTGTGTTAAGCTCACAAACCCATAAAAGCCTTCAATACTGTTTTGTAGTCATATGCAACAACATTTCAGATGCGATTTTTCAAGAAAAAAAAAAGTCTTTCAGTGACAGCTGCTGGCTGGTTTTAAAAAGAGAAAGCCAGAATGCAAAAAACCAGAAAGCTGACCATGTCATCTCCACCACCTGGGCACTAGAACTCTGTTCCCCAGACAGCACCAGGACATTTTCAACCAGGCAAGACAGACGAAAGACTTGGAAAGACCTAAGAGGGCAGTGAGGGAAGAGTTACATTCCCAGTGTTGTGCTCAACTACAGTGGAGCGAAGAAAACAAGTGGTTAGCTGCCTTGCTTTTCATCTGGCAATTTCAGGCAGACTAAGTCAGCATGGCTGAGAAGCAAGCTGACCTGAATGCTGCTCATGCACCCACCCTAAATCTTGCTATATAGGTCACTGCAGAATGGTACATTTGGTGCTAAGAAATAAACAGGCAGTGCCAAAATCTCCACAGAAATGAACACTAAGCTTATAAAGCTGAAATTCTGCAACTTGAAAAGGTTTTGACAGGTCCTGGCTTGGTATCTTCTGCTCAGAGAACCTGTTCTTCAGAGAAGATGTCTTAGTATTCATTTTTTTAAGTGAGCCAATCACTGTTTTTCTCCTTCTCACTGCTACAGGAGCTGAAAAGTCTCCAAATGCATCCATTCTGTTGAGTCTTGTAGGGGCAGGGGGGTGATGCTAATTTTCAGTCCAGATGATTCAATAGTATTAAGAATATTTTTGTGCTAGTGAATCACAGCAAAGCTCTTTAGAGATGCACTTTAGTACTATACGTCAGGCATTTCTGCCTTAGAGGAGTAGGGTAATTATGGACTTCATTCATGTAGTGAAAACTTCCTGAGATTTCAGGCTGACTTGCCCTAGGTCATTCAGCACAACAGAACCAGCAACTCGAGAGCTCCAACCTCACCCTAGCAAGCAGCTCAGTACTGGAAATTAACATGGAAGTGAAGGAGTGAAAAGGACAGAGCCTTAAGATACAAAGAAAGAGCAAGACAAGAAAGGCTTCCTGAGCATTGCTCAACTCACTTGCTCACAGAATTTTGTTAGTCAAATTAAAAATCTTGATGTCACTTTAAAAGAAGCATGCCTAAGAGACTATTTAGGCCCTGCATAGTAACACACAAAGTCAGCAAGTAAAAACTGACCCTTAGTTTGAGCTAAGACACTGCATAGCTGAATAGGTTTATTATCAGACACTGCTTTGCACACATGCAACCCAGTATAGCAAAATAATGGATTGCTTCCTTTTGCCTGGTGCCTGCACATGCTTTTGCTTGAACATGCAATTGGAGACTGGGGCATCCCTTTGCACTCCCAAAAACAAAGAGTGAATGTGACCATGCAGGAATGAGAGCACAAGGCACAGCTTTTTGCCATATGCACTGCAGAGATACTCTGTCAGCACAGATCCTGCCCTCTGGCACAGCTCCCCTGCCTTCAACACTGCAGACTGCAGCAGAAAGTAGCCAGCTAACAGCCACATTTTCCATTAAGTAAAGAGCATTTATTTTGGATGCAGTCAGATGATGAGAAAAGTGGATGAGGTATTTATTTTTAAAAACACGATGCCTTGAAAAGTTTGCTTTCCAAAGCATTCAGCATCCCAAGTTACCCAATTCCAGAAACAACCAGAAAGGCTACTTGCACATTCCTCGGCATCAACCTTCAATATTAAAGTAGTTACAAATTAGCAGCACTGTAGCGTAGTTGCAGGTGCTCATTCTGATGAAGTACAAATATTTAAGGCAGTTTATCACATGACAGAGGAGGGACAGAGAAACAGCTACTTATATCTACTCCAGCAGGCTCTTACCGCTTGTTCCTGCTGCGGTGTTGGATGGGCTGCACTTTGCTGGGCCTGGGGCTGTGGTGCTGCTGGAGCCTGTTGCTTTTGCTGAATTGCTGCTGCTGCTGTCTTCTGCTGGGCCATCATCTGCTGCTGCTGCTGCTGCTGGTAGTAGTTTTGCATCAGCTGCTGCTGCGCTGGTGCTCCCTGCTGCATCACTGGGAACTAGGAAACAAGCAGTAGTTGAGACACCTGCTGCTCAGCTGGGAACTGGGTTAGCAGAACTCAGGGATCAGCCACGAGACTGGTCATAGCCTCTGCAAGCAGCAAAGCAGCAACAAGTTGGGATGGCTTGGAGACCACCTGCATGAAATGGCACTCTGGTCCACTCTTAGATACTTTCTGGGTTACATTTGCTTATAGCAGGCTCCCTGCAGTCCCAAACTCCTTTTTCCATTTATTTATTCTAAACCTTCCCCCAGGACGAGAAGCTTCATTAACCTGCTTCTTCCACTATTAAACATGCTTCTGCAGTTATCTGTGCTGCTATCAACACTTCAGTTAAGCATGTCTTATATAGACAAATCCTATTTAACATACAAGCTTTTCACAGGCCTCTCAACATGACAGCCTACCACACGAACAGACCTGACCGCTAAAAAAAGGCATACCAGCTTTCTTGCATCACAAAGAACAGAAGAGAAAAATATTCCTGTGCTCATCAATTAAGCACTCACCTCAAGTCTTTGAAACACTTTGAGCTATAAAACCTTAACCAACACCACTTCTTTTGTTTGTTCATGACTAAGACCTCTCAAGGCTTTCCACTTTGACAGTTAAAAATGATAGTCTTCTGTTACAAAATAATATTGCTAGAAAAGTGAAAACACATTGGAAAATGCATAAAAGTTGTACCTATCCTTTAGAAAAGGAAAACAGAGAGCTTCCTCTAAATGCAGTGATGTGCATTTATATCTGGCACAGGAAGTACACAGCAAACACTGCCACATTTGCTTACCTGCTGAGCTTGCATCACCTGCTGCTGCTGGTAATATGCAGCCTGTTGCTGTTGCTGCAGTAGCTGCTGCTTCAGAAAAAGCTGCTGTTGGTGCTGAGGTGTGGCTTGTGGCTGAGCAGAAGGGACCTGGGGCTGTGCCTGCGATGCCTGCTGGAGTGCTGGCGCCTGCTTGGCTTGTGGCTGCACTGAAGTTGGTTGTGGTGCTGCTTTTTGTTGGGGGACACTTGCAGGAAGTGAAGGCTGACCACTGCCCAGGGTAGCAGGCCCTGCAATTGGTAGAATGGATCTGTTAAGTGAACAGCACGCACTGAAGTCCAGCAACACATCCATAGCACAGCCAGGAGTCTCACCTTGAGGCTGAATTGCTGCTTGGGCTGTGGGTCTCTTCCTAGGTGTCAAGGCTGGCTGAATTGGTAAAATTCCAGGGTTGGGTTGTGTCTGCCCTGCTTTAGGTCTCTGGCGGGGTGCTATGGAAGTTTCTGTTGTAGGAATGGGATCTGTCAACCTACAAAATAACATAACAATTAAAAACAAGAATCACCATCAGAAGTAGTAAGAGTAGTTTGTGTTAGTCTGAGAGTTGTTACAAGCAGCACACAGCATAGGATTAAACACTCTTCCATACGTCAGCTTTAAAGGTGATAAACTGAAAAAGGCAAAACATTTAGATGCTTCCAGATACACAGGAAACCTCTTCCAGAAAGCTGCAAGCACAGTAGAGCTTAGTAGATGCACTCACAACAATCAGACTAACATTATCATTTTGATGACTGCCATTTGTGGTGCCTTTTTCTATTGGACAGCTGGAATTTGTCAAATTCAAATATCTGCTAAAACATACTGCTTAAGGCTACTTAGAGTTACAGATGAGCAGATGAAGGATAAGCAAGCTTAAGAGCAGCTGGTGCCTTTGGGCAAAGTTGTCTGAACTGGTCTTTAAAAATACCTTAACTTTAGTACATCTACCCCAGAATAAGGTCACTGGACATCCTCTGATCCTTGTTCAGTATTACTCATCCTCCATCGAGGCACAGCAACAGGGCCAAGCAGCCAGATATCATCCTGTCCTTCTGCAGATACATCTCCTTGTGAGACATCGAAGTTGTTCTACTAAAGTGAGCATAGCTGAGTTCCATTATAACAACAAGCAAAGCAGACTCCTGGGACTGAGGCAGGAGTAGAGATGCCCTATTTCAGAACAGGTAGAAAACTGCTGCTTCTGGAGTGCCCACTGCTAGAAGGTTCACGTTTCAGTAAAATAAAGCAGAAGTTTTGTCCAACAGAATTTATATACTTTATTACAGTATTATAAGGAGCAAGCAGTGGCAAGAGAGGAGAAGAACCACAACAGTACAGCAGCTCCCCAACTCATTAGGCTATTCAGACAGAGACTGTATTGCCCAAAGAAATTACATGGCTCTTGCAGAAACTGCAGCAATTGCACAGAGTAATTACTGGGTCAGGTTATCATCTGCTGAGGACCAAATTGGAACAGCAATAGTTCCTGATGCAATTTTTCCAGTCGCCTTGTGCTCTCTGGGCCAATTCCAGGCCCACTGCAGTCTCTCTGCTATCTTAGGTACTCTGGGTACTGCCTTAGGATGGATGACACAGTATATTCATTCAAGTGCATGAACCTCAAGCGCCACTGTCAAGCAATGTCTCTAGGACAAAGCTTAGCTGTTGAGTCATGCTGAGTGTTGCCCAAATCCCTCCCTCCTCTCACACAAAAATTTCCAGCATCTGCATCTTCTGTCTTTCAGATCAATGGATATTTATGTCATTGAAGCAAAGCCTGAGGACTGCAGTGTTTGTCTCGGTGTATAAATAGAAGCCCACAAAGAAGCAGCTAAATATGCTAAGCATCTTTTCTAACAGAACACAGAGAGAATACATGGTAAAAGAGAGAGCTAACTGTAATGAAGGTGTGGTTACCTGGCCTTTGGTTGACTCTTCTTCGCCGCAGCTTCACTTGCTTTGACTGGGTCTGGGAGCTTAGCAGGGATTGGAGAGTTCTGCAGATCCCAAGAACACTGAGTTTAGTACTTTGGGGGCAGAAAACAGTCAGAAATTATTTGCAAAAGCACACCAATGAGATCTGGAGGTTGCAGAACCCCCAAAGCAATTATTCCTCACTCTGGACAAAGGACAAACCCCTCCTCATTAATGGCACGAGAGGAGCTTGGGTTAGTTTTCACAAGGAGAAAGATAGGATTCAGCTTTCTGACCATTTTCTACACGTGCAATCTGAACACAGAGCTTTATAGCACATGTTCAGTATTTGAAAAGAATCTGGGAACAACAGTAGCAAGTTATCAAAACTGATAAAAAAATACAAGCATGACTAATATCTTGTACATAAAAATCATAAATAACTACCAAAACATAGAAGAAAATTAAGTTTTTTTTAATTTGGAAACAACAGAACAAGATGCCACAGATATCCATAATATTTTAAAAAAAAAAAAAAAAAAAAAAAAAAACAACAACTTTATTTTTCAGGTGAATTCTATAAGGACAGTAAGAAAGAGCAGGTGGTTGTATAAGGTCTGATACAGTTCAAATGAACGTTGGCTGCTCTCAGCCAGACAGCAGACAAAAATCACTGCCTTTAAAACCAACTGCAGTGCAAATTACGCACACTATGATGAGTATGCCTGAAAATCAAATGGGTTTCACAAGCATGGCCTAATTTTTCATGTTCACATGCAAAAGGTCTTTTGGCTGGCCTCATGCTGTTAACTAGACAAGGATATAAATAAAGAAATAAGCAATGTATGAAACAAAACCTAGATTTCCACATTCCCTTCAAGAAAAAAAAAAAAAAAAACTGCACTGCTAATTACAAGAAATAAAACAGAACCTCCTGATTAGAGACCTGTGGAAGCAATCAATATAGCACAGCAGCATCCTCAATAATGTTTAGCAGCTGCCACCCCCAACTCCTCACACAAAGCCCTACATCAATCCCTTGCTTCACTACTCACCTGGACGTTCTGGACTGGGCATTCCTTCTTTGCCAGTTTGAATGCAAAGTAGGAGACTTGATAAATATCAGGTCTCTTATCAGGGTCTGGCTCAAGCATATACCCTTTAAAAGATAAAGATACATCAGAAAAATAGAACAGATTCATACAAGGATGGACTAGGAAATACTTTTTAAAAATATATTTTTAAACACTCCTAGGAGTAACTCCTAGCTGCTATTGCAGGCTCTAAAGCAAGGAGGGGAAACAGATTGCTTGGGCATGGAACGGTGTAGGGTTTGACTTCTGCATTTTTAAGTGAGCCCACAGGAAAAAAGGTTGACAAAGGCCTAGTGAGTGTGTAGGGCAGGAAGACGCACACAGACCACTGCTTTTGCATAAGCAAAGAACAAACTCGGCTGCTTTGAAAATAACTTCTGTCACTCAAGGTTATGGCTAGAAAAAGAGTTTCAAAAATACACTGCACTGACGAGAGAGCTTCCCCAGCTCTACCAAGAGTAACGCATTGTACCCTTAATTACACATTCACTCTAGGCAGTAGCTTATTTATAAATCATTTCAGTTCTGTTTCTCAATTCACAAAAAACAAATTCTTATCACTGGTCTAAGTCACTGTGGTTCTTTTCAGTTTCTTATCCAAACAGATTTGGTACTGGAGAAATACATTTTGCATAAATAGACTTATTGTGCAAGTTCATGTAGGACTCAAACCAAGAGGTTGTCTCTTTTCCTGCCTTTCCACTGAGTTCAGTCAAACAGAAATCCCTGCTGTAGCTGTGTTTTGAAGAGTGATGTCCCAAGCTACAAGAAAATCATTTCATCCATCCCTGTGTGCAAAGCAAGCCTCTTACAATAAACACCAACTGTTCTGCTGTAGGAGCACAGAATGTAAACACATCTTAAGAAAAAGTTCTGTGGAAGTTGATTAGGGCACTGTCAGAGACACTCACGGATGAGGCAGTGCATGTCCTGTGAATGCCGAGAGTTATCTGGAATGGTGAAGTTGCCATCACAGATTGCCACCTGACTTTCCCCAAATGGCAAAGTGAAGTAACACAGCTTGTACAGCAAACAGCCGAGGGCCTGAAGACAAAGAACAGAACAGGTGAGTTAACTAACTGAAGGAAAGATGCAACAAGATCCCCAAACTGACACACACCTTACATCGGTATATGCTACTGCATACAGGTGTACAAAACCTTTTCCTGTTCCCCACATACAAAGCAAAATTAATAGGGAAACCAAATGACATCTATCATCCTTAACACATTTATTCTGGCCAAAAAAACCTTAAAACATATTGGTTACCAAGCTTAAACTGTAGCAGTTCACATAACCTTCCAACCATTATGTTACTTATTTTATATTATATACAGGATTTGTTAGCAGATTGCTAGGTTATATCACTGGCTCATCTATCTCTGTGCTGCTTTTGACAGCAAGAAAAAACACCTCTTTCAAAATAATATACAAGTTATACACAAAAGGCTAATTATGAAACACTACTGCCATCCCCGGGTGAACGGGGGAACACATTTCCTAATGCAGAACAACTCACCATCAACTTGTGGCTTTTGTCGCAGGATTTGATAATTAAATTGTACACCAGTTCAAAAGAACCTTGGTGAGTTTTGGAGAAAGGAAGGTGCTAAGCAGGACTACCACTACAAGATGCCCTAAGATGAGGCTGCGCTCTGCGCAACACTGCATATTTGTTTGGGAGCACAGCAAACAAGCAGAACAGAATTCCTTTAAGGCCAAGAAGAGAGTAGCTTGAGCCTCTGTCTCCACCTCTCTACATGATCACAAAGGGTACAAACCCAGGGTTCTCCTCTAGCTGCCTCTGAGGCAGTCTTTTCATGCTGTTACAGCTGTGCCATCCCCTCTCTGGAGCTCAGCAAGGCAAGCAACCCAACGCTGGTCTGGGCCTGGGTCTACAAACCTCCTGCTGAATTCAGCACTGCAAGAGCCCCATATGAGCTGCTGTGTTCCTGACCCTTGGCTGGGCTCACAGATAATACAGAGGACTCTATCCAGTGATGCCGCACCAGCAATTGTCCCTCTTGTAAAAGCAAACATAACTTACAGAGGATCCATAAACACTCTCCTTACACTGCTGCTTCCTTGTTGCTTTCTAGTTCAGGGCTTCAAAAACCATACAAACACATGCAAATTAGCATTTTTAAACACATCCTATTTGCTGAATTGCCACTTCTCCACAAACAAAGGCTCTTCATCCCAATTAAGAGGAAGCCTACCATCCTTTTGTTGTTAGATTATCTAGTAATGGATTACACCACAGCTGCATTTTTCTCTCAACATAGAAAACATAGCAAGATTCACTCCTCATTACAAACAGCAGTACAAAAGCTTGGTCCTTAGCCAGGTTTGACGATTGAGCTGCACTACCCTGCCCAGAAGCATACTATTATTTCCTAGGGGAAAGCCTATTTCCTCCACTTTCCACCTTCTTCTGCCTAGTAACATTGGTTTCACACCTTTGCTCAACAAAAGCACAAGTTACAATGCCTTGAATTTTCTGTTTTAACTGTTTTATGATACAAAATCATGTTTGCAGTGTTCAATTCTGGACTCATACACCATGCATACATCTCTGTATTAAAAGCACATGAGAAGCAGTATGCAAAGCACCAATCATGTCTTACCCAGAAGCCAGCCTGTTTAGCAGTAACTCAGAAACTTGAAGCAGAGCAACTCTCTACTCAGAGACTATCCAGTCTTATGGAAACCAGGCTAGCTCCAGCCAGAAAGTTATCTTGTCATTAGGACAACGAAAGCAAACTGCAGTCTGGTTGTGTGATGTTAAGTGGGCTTTATACATACCCATATGTCTGCTTTTGTAGTGATAAGTTTGCCACTATACAGGTTGACCATTTCTGGTGCTCTGTAAGATAACGTAGTGTACCTGCAGCAAAAAGATCTATTGGTGAGTTTAACGTGGACATCAGATGAGCTTTCAGTATGCCACATTTAAAATAGTTCAAAATTCATGCTTTTCTATTAGTTCTGGGGCAAACTCTAAAAAAAAAAAAAATATAAAAATTAGACATTTCTCAACAGATTATCAACATCAGAATCTACTGCATGATTCTAACATGAGAATACCGACACCGCAAACCATCCTGGGAAAACAAAGCAAAAGCAAAGATTACTTCTCCAACAGAGTTTACTCACAAAGGACAGTATTTTTAAGAGCTAAAACACAAACATCCAAGAATTCAGAAAATTAACAAGGCCAGAAGTCAAGCGTCCTCTGCAATGTCCTTACCTACCACTGGGCTTTTGGCCAACCTACAAAGATTGCAACTGGATACAAGGCTCCTAATAAATCGGCTTCCATGCTGGGATTCCTGCTCAGAGCCATTGTAGACAAAGGAAAGATTATTTTGCAGCTTCAGCTCAAACTACAATCTGCCTCATTTTATTCAGTAAATGAAATAGATGGACATTGAGCCACAGTTTGAGATTCTTAAGGTTTTCTATCAGTGCATTTATAATTTTTGCTGTATCACATTCTATCATATTTGGCTTGATCACAAGAAAAGGTTGCTAAAGCATTACACAGGGATTGCAAAGAAAGAGTGGGAGAGCTCAGGGAACTTCAGTGAAGCAAGTTCAGGAAGTCCATGCAGGTATGACAGAATCCTCACAGAAAGGAAACATTTGCACACATTTCTAACACGCTGTTTCCCAGCCAAAGTATTGTATTAATGGAACAGGAATGTTTGTGTAGCGCTGAAGTGAAAACTAAAGCAAGAGCAGGACTTGGCAACTGCTCCATCTCTGATGCAGCCCTCCTGGGCTGTGAGTTGATTTCCTTTTCTAAAAGCATATCAAGGCATCCAGCACTGATACGGCTAGAGCTGGTCACACATAGGCAAAAGGAATCAAATGAAACACCCTGAAGTCCCACCATTTTCATGGGGAGATGAGCCATGTATTTCCTTACTTACTGCAAGGATTGAAAATGAGAGGCTCATGAAAAGAAAGGGATTTTATCATTCGCTATATTTGCCGTTCAAACAAACCAAGAGATAGATTAATTCCATAACAAACAAATCATGTCACTGCCTCATCAAGGCAGGCAACCCCTCTGCCTTAGCACACTCAGTCTTTCAGGTCCAAAGTAATTACATCAAGCTCAGTTTTTGATTGTTTCACCTTCCCCCAGGCCCCTATCTACCCCTAGCAGGTACTTCTATGTAGCAACATCAACCTGCTGCCACAGGCACCAGTAAAATCCAGTCACAGTATAAAGAAAGTCACTCTTCAAATACAAACTGTGTCTGAGGCAAAAGGAAAAAGCACACTTACTTCTTGATCTCCTCCTCCACTGCATTCACCCCTTCTGTTTGAGGATTCTGGAATTTGTTGGTAGCACTTCCAAAGTCACAGAGGACATAGTGGCCACGATCATGTAGCAGGATATTTTCAACCTATGAATGTTGCAGCCAAAAAAAAAAAAAAAAGGAACCATTCAACTAGACAGAAACATTAAAATAGCTTGTTTTCTTCAGGTGATTCAGGGTTTTAATGCCTGAAGACATATCAGACACGTCAGACAAGTGTGTAATGTGACAATCAAAGAAAATAAGCACCAAAACTGTCACACCTCCTAAAACGGAAGTCAGATCATAGAAACACAGCTGTAAAACTGCCTTCCATTCTGCCTGATGTCCTTTCCTTTTCCTTACTTTTTTGCAAGCATGTCACTCTGCCTCTATTAAGGCTGTGTACTTCAGGACAAAAATTCCACATTTCAGTGTCTTCAGTACTCAAGTTCCCTCAGCCATACTCTGTAATCTGAATTTGGGATGACCCCCTGCTTTCAAGTACTATTTGTTAGCTTGAATCAGACAACTGTACACCACAACAGGCACCCGTGGTCGCTGAAAGATCAGCTCTCTCCTAAGTATTCGAACTTACAATCACGCATTAGCAAAAATCTACCATGCAGCGTGCAACTAAACACCAGCTGACAACTGACTGTACAGTGGGGGTCACAATCACTTGAAATATGCAAAGGGACACCAGACCCCATGTATTTTTATTCTCTGTGCTACCTGTTTTTCATACTCCTAGAAAACAAAGGCCAGCAGCACAAAACAAACAGCTGCTGAGGGCTCAGAGAACAGAGCCTGACCCACAAAGCACATCTGAATTTCAAACGTACACACGAGCCACACAAGTCCTTCTGGACTGAAGTTATTTTTATGAGCCAGTTGAGAGAAAAAGCAAATTCTTTTTTGAGTTTGTTTGATTACAGGCATAGGATTTTTCAGAAGCTTTCCCTGCTGGCCTTGCTCTGTTCCCCTCTAAAGCACAGAAAGCCTCGCAATCCACACAGTTTCACGGTCAATAGTTAAAGGCCAATTTCAAAAGCTTCTAACAACTCCTGCCACAAAGCCAACATCTCTGGAGCGATCCTCTTCATATAGGTCCAGGAAACATATAGCAAACTTTCTCTGAACAACTTATAATATCAATAGTGTTTCAGGTGGTAGGCAGAGAGTGACTGTGAATAATTGATCAAATACATTCTGGCATATCTCTGGTGAAAAACAGTTTTTGAAGTATTTGTTTTTGAAGCAGAGCTATAGACAGTACACATATGGTAAGCAGCTATGGGAGGCTATTTTTTTTTTTAATCTTTCAATAGAGAGAGGTATTTACACCCACTTTCTCTTATTACTAACAACAAAAACACGGTACCAGGCTTCAGAGCCCATCAGGCACAGTGTAGGCAGACAACATACACATTCAGGATCACACACAATCCCTCCTGCTTTACTGGAGACCACAGCTCACCTTCAGATCCCTGTGGATTATTGGTGTTTTACACTGATGCAGCCTTGCTACAGCTTCACAGGTATCACAGAAGATCTGCAGGACTTCATTCTCTGTGAACCCTGTCTGAAGTCGTTGATTCATGAGGTTCACCACCTGTCCTCCTGAGGAAAAATAACAACAAGAATGAGAGCAAGAGTGCCAAGTTACACCAGGCCCAGTCCAAGCCCCAATCCTACCAGATATACCCTGCCTTAGACAACTCCTCACAGGGTGGCTGGATATCAGAACACAAGAAGTTCATGAGATCAAATTCAAAGTTGGCTCCAAACCTCCCCCAGAGGTTCTTTGCAATCAGCTCAGTCATCTTGTTTCCTCCTTTCTTTGCCTAAACTTTTATATATCTGCCAGGAGGTGCCCCATCTGACCCTTGGACAATGCTTCAGTAGTACAAGTTTGCTTCTCCTCCACATCACCATGTTAACAATGAGATGCAATTCTAAGCCACATTTTTCCTCTCCTCCTCAAAATAAAATGTTTGTCAGAATAGAGGAAAAGAAGGCTAAATTTGAGGCACCCACAGACCACAAAACAGTCTGCCACATGGAAGCAAAGAGACAGACTCAAAAAAAGCATAATTTAAATGGCTTGGCCAAAATCACAGACTGGCAAAATCTATCTGTACAAGGAGAACCTTCAGCAGTTTTCATGCTTTGAATGAGTTCTAACTTTGCCTCATCTCTTTGCTGTAAAGGTCTTTGCAGAAAATCCACACAATTTCTTCCCCCTAAAAACATCTGAGGTACACAGGGGAAAAAAAAAATTGAATCTTTGGTAAAGCTGCATCAAAATTCATATCCATAGCACTAAAGCTCTGAAGAAAAGCTGAGCTTAGTAAGTAGTACAGCTGTATTATGCACTCAGCAAGTGCAGTTCAGCACATAAAGATGCATTAATTCAGTTTAAGCAGCTGTTTGTCACAGATTGAGAGTAACAAAGGGAAATCCAACGCATGATAGCAATTCCTGTGCTTCAGAGTTGAAGACCAAGAGAACAACGTGCCAAGAAGGGTATTCGCAAGCCACAAGAGAAATACCACTTTGCAGCCCTTTTCCTCATAGAGGAGACACTTTAGAAAGACAAAACATACTCTGTAAGCCCACCATCCAACACAGAGGGAAAGCTAGCAAGAGAGAATTCTGAATTGCCAGCATTTAGACTTTTATTTGAAGTGTGACCTGTAACACAGAGCTGAGTATGAACTTACTGGCACTGTCAGATCCCTTCCTTGAAACACTCCTTGTGATATTCAGTATTAAACCACCCAGAACAGCCAGACTTCTGAAGTCACCTGGCCAAAATATTCTTTTTGCTCATGCTTTTCCTGCAAGTGGCACTTGAGCACAGCACGTGTGTAATTTTCCAAACATCACATCCTAGCCACAAAAGATCAAGGCTTTAGGACAGCTGAAAAGAAGTAGAAGAGCCTGTCTGGCTAGAGACAGACAAGTAAAAAGAAGTAAAAAGGAATACTTTTTGGCTTTACATTGTCCAGTTCAAGCTTCTTCCAGAAAAATCCTAAGTCAGGCTGAAAGAGAAAAAGCTTGCTGCATGACATGCAGTGCAGAATAATTTCATTCCACAGCCTTGCAGCTATAGAAGAACACTTAGTATGGACCGGTCTATGGAAAACAGCTACATATGTACACTTCAAGGTTTCCCCCTCACAACAAAAACAATCCAGGACCATCTCAGCAAAGGCAGTAAGAGCTGAATCAACAGAGTCAGCATAACCTCATATATCATCTGTTTCTCTACATTTAGTTTCTGCTTTGTTTTGTTCACAACAGTTCCTTGGTATTCAAGAAAGGGCCATGCCTAGGAATAATTTCCCTTTTGAAATGAAAGGAAAATGCTGTGCAATTTTCCTGTAAGCACTGAAAAGGGCCAAACCTACAGATGAACAACATATTGAGCCCACACTCACCTCGGCAGAAGTCCATTAATATCAGCACTTCCCACACATCACCGCTGCTTACTGAGTTTATACTGGAATCAATGTATCCTACAATGTTCTTGTGGCCAGATAGATCTCTCTGCAAAATAAACACATTCAAAGCATTATACAGCCACACAGGATGAGCAGCATTTCAATTTGATTCCTCTACAACACTTAGCTTTCCTAGCTCTTCCCCTGCCTAAGCGCAAGCTCCTGTCACTTTGGCTTAACCACTACATACAACATGATCAAATCTGAGGCCTGCCTCCACCTGCTTTCCTTTCAGAATGATTTGAGACAAGCAACAGCGAAGCAAACAACCAACAGAACTAACTCCCATTGGGTTGGTCCAGATGTTTGGATGTGTCCCCCAATCACCCACGTTAAGCTTGCTGGAGTTGCTCCTTCTTTGTGTAGGGGAGAAGCAAGCAGACGGTTTGCAGTGGCTATGCATGGTACGTGCTGCACTTCTCCCCCCCACCTTCCACCAGCACACAGAAGCTCCAATCTTATTGTGAAGATTCAGCAGGAAAAAAATAAAATAAAATAAAATAAAAAAAAAATCAGAAAGACATTTCCTGCCCTTGCTTTCCAGGTTAGCCAGGCTCCAAAGAGACAGAGACAATGGAAAGCACTAGCAAGAAAAATGCAAGGAAGCAAGCTTTGTGAGCACAGTCAAAGCCTTTTAAGATTAGATCTTATACCACTTTACCAACGTAGCACTAACTGCGGTACTGACAAAGCATACCCAAAAGCTGCACTGCACAAAAAAAAAAAAAATAAAAAAAAAATAAAAAAAAATAAAAAAAAATCACAAAATCCAGAAGTTATCTTTGAAGGTATTAACCTAATTAAAAGCTAGTTTAAAAAAACACTATGGATGGAAGTTTTTGAAGTGATCACTTATCCTAAACCAACACCTCATATCATAAATTTGCAGAACAAGGGTGTTCTCTTTCATTCCTCACTGCACAGTTTCTCTAAGTGTCCCTTTCCACTATTATTAGGCTCCGAGCAAAACTCACCAAATCCAGTTAAATAATTTCCGTTTCTTTGTTTAGAGATGCTAAGTTTAAAACTACTACTTAAAATAGCTATCATGTAACACCTTGCATCCGAGTGAAATCTAGAAGATAAACACCCCCCAAACACACACACCTCTTCAGCTCTTCCCTTTCCCTACTTTTGTGAAAGAATGGTCAGGCACCAGAATAGGCTGCCCAGGGAGGTAGAGGAGTCACTGACCCTGGAGGCGTTTAAATATTAAGGCGTTAAAAATAAAAAAACAAAACAAAAACATAGAACCATGACAGGAACGTTTGGATTTTGTGTTGAGGGACATGGTGGACGTTGGACTGGATGATCTCGAAGGTTTTCTCCAACCTTGGTAATTCTGTGATTCTGTGAACTCAGTACAGCTCACAGACAGAAGGTGACAAGGCTCTCAGTCACAGCCCCCAGAAGGAAGTGGTGACTTACCATGATTTGGATTTCTCTTTTGCATACTTGCAAGTCATACTCATTATTGACGTACATCCGCTTCAGGGCACATTTCATCCCATTGTTTGTCCTCACAAGAAACACTATGGCAAATCCACCTGAAGAAAATAGAGTAATTCCGTTTAGTAAGACATAAAGCTCTGTCCTTGCTCCTGAGCTTTGTCCTGGCCTACAGACACAACCAGAAGAAAGAGGGCACTTGGCAACCAAGAGCACCATGATGGGTGCCCCCTCACATCTCCTCATCTCCTGAGCGACGAGCTTTGCTTAGACATGCAGTATCTCAGTGATAACAAGCTATTAAACCCACTGCTTGCCCTGCCAGACAGTTCTTCATTGCCTATTTAATTTCCATTACAATGGGCAAAGCTGAAGTATGAACAGCAACAATGTTATCCTAGGAACCTAGTCTGCTGGGTTTTCCAGGTCCAAGTCCCCATGACTTCAGGAGCAAAACTAATGCAGAGCTGCCCCAGAGAAACTAGAAAATGATGCAGTGGATGAGAAGATTCCATTCAAAAAACTATAACCAGGCAACAAAATGCAGCAGACTCAAATTCAGGAAAAAAAAAAAAAAAAAAAAAAAAAAAAATCAACCATGGCTCTGGGATAGAGAGCCACAGAGATGCTGCTCACTGCTGCCAGGGAGTTTTAAAAGTCCTGTAGCTCCAGAGAGCCCAATATGTTCATAGTGCTTCAAATTCAAACCCTCACCCTTACACCGCTTCAAGTTCAGCACCACAAATTGCACATCATTTTTAAGAACTCCTAAACCTGTGGCCACATTTGTCTCATTACTAGGCTGAGAAATGTGCACCATCACTCTGTGTTATCCATACCACAACAGATGCCTGTGCTGAAAGCAAGACAGCACTCTGAGCTCCCCCTCTTATCACCTGCAGCGGAGCTATCAGAAACAAGGGACCTACAGTCAGCACTACTTTCCTAATTCCTTTGTAAAACATCCCATTTCGAGTCATTGCAGTGATCAGGTTTGGACTTATTTTTTGATTTCCCTATGTTTCTATGAACCACAGAAATGCAAGAGAAAACACTACACTGAAAAAACAACTATTCTTTTTTATTACAGTCTCAGTCATCATCAAAACAGTTCTGTTTTTTTTTAATGAGAAGCTCCAGCAGGAGTTTCATTTCTCCCAGCTTGGAGGCCACCAGGATATCCTACCTCTGTTTGCAGTCCATGCTCAGCAGAAAGAAACACGAGCTGAGCAGAAAAACACAGAACAATCAAACTTCATTTTAGAAAGAGAAAGAAAAAAAAAAAAAAAAAATGATATCCACTAAATTTAAGAGTCATCTTCTCAATCAGTGGAGTCAATACCTCCTCACGCTGACTGCTAATATCTCATTAGCAAAGTTCTATGCAATGTACCTTTCTTCTAGTCCAGATCCAGTGCTGGTTTTCTTACCAGGGCTAGCTGGCAAATAAACTTCAGAACTTAGAAAAACAACAAAGTCTTCCAGCACAGGTCTGCAACATCAACACACTGGAGCTGAGAAACACAGCCTGCACTACCCTGCCCAGAAAGCAGAGAGCCACACACAACAGGTGGAACTGCACAGAAGAAAAGAATGGCAAAGTTTGATGAGGAGCTGCCCTGCTTTTGATGTAGCAGCACTTACAGCCACGGGAAAGTTGCATCCTGCATCCTTTTCTCTCTCATCTTCAACTCCTGCAAACCGAAGCTGTACAAAATCATTTCGCTTACATAGCCTGCAAGCACTCCTACCAATTTGGTTGCTTTATTGTTCAACTCCCACTGATGGCTGATTAAAGCATGACAGTTTTGCTACTAGTAAAAGCAGCAGGCTTCTCTCCAGAGAAAAGAAGTACAGATTTAGTCAGGGTACATATTGTCATTTTTGTACTATATCACAATTTTTTTTTATACTGTGCCATTCAAGAAGCAGGATCTGATCCATACACATTCAAGAGAAGATGCGTAAGTTCTAAGAAATTACTGCATCCTCTGCTCCAATGCCTCAAAACAGGTCATAATATTCCTCACCAATAGCAGCTGAGCCCTGCTTTCAGTTGTTCCCAGGATGTGACCCAGAAAGACACAAAAAAATGCAGAGCAAACTTCCCTCAGTCACTGCACATTTAAAAAAATCAGAAGAGGTATCAAAAGTGCCACCCCAATTTGAATTCCTCTGCACTAATTACACCTTCCTCTGCTAATTGGCTTCAGCACTCCCAGCTTTGCACACAGAGAACAGGACTGTACCGCACTGTGAAGCAGGAGGAGGATGAGGGAAGTAGAAAGGGAAGAAAAAATTCAAACAACACCATCCTATTAAAATCAGCATGCTTTAGCTGTTGACTGCCTTTATCCCCTTCCTCCTTGCATATCTACAGCTCCACCACCCCATGGTCTTTCAGCTCCCAGGGCCTCTGACTGCATCAGCTTCCTCCTGGCTATTCCAGTCCAACCCCCAATCTTACTAAATCTGGACAGAGTTAAAAGGAAATAGATGCCAGGCAAATGGACAGGCAATGATTATGAAGCACCAAATACACATTATGGGAGGACTGGTTACTTCTATTCTCAGAAACCACAACAACGGGCAGAAACTGCCAGCCCCTAAAGCAATATGGCAGCTCTGCCACAACCCAGAGACACATCAGGAATGAAGCAACTCCACAACAGCCAAGGTCAGGCCAACAGCTTCAACTGCCCCAAGTTAAGTCAGAGAGCTGTGCACACATGGCCAAAGAAGGTGGGCCAAAACACAGAGGCAAAGCTATGCAAACACGGGAACATCCTGTCATCTTGGCAGGCATAGCCTTTGTTTCCAGCAAACTGGTCTTACTATAAGCTGGAAAAAATGTGAAGTTCCAGTGATCTCCTGGCTATACAGAGCATGTTTCCGTGCAGCTTGTGTCAGTGTACTGGCCGGTTTTCAGCACTGACAGTTGTATTTTCAGCCCTTCTGTAAGCTCAGCAGGATGCACAGCTCCTTGTAGCCACTTCTAACCTAGGTAAAACCAGCTGCACGAGGCTGTATGTGATCCCTCTCTTAGAGAGGTAAGCGGGACAGCACTGGTTCATTTAAGTGACCAAAGCCTGGAATTCTCCTGCAAGCAGAAAGTCATCAGCAGCCAGCAATGTCCAGCTGAAAACAGGCACAGGATATTACTTTGTTGCAAGCTGCAAAATTAATGGAACAGCGCATTTGCCATGTTACCCTGCTGTGCTGATCCACCACCAAGAGACATCGGAGGAGCTGAGAAAACAGGAATAGCTTCATCCAAATACAATTTTCAGAATACTTCCTTTTAAAATCCATGCTGAGTGAACCTCCCAAAGACGTTACATGCAGCAGGATGATCTCCCAGCCACATGTTTAAGCTCTGCAGTAATAGCTACAAAGCATCTCCAGGGCACAGATCCATCTTCCCCTGCAGACATTGTCCAGCTGCCTTGGACCACGTAGCCCCAAAGCAGTGAGGTCTGAAGAGAAGTCACCCCTTTTTCCAGTTGAGTAGAAGCAAATCCTTGGACTTGAAAGAGTCAACTACCAGATCATTAAAAACAAAATCCAACCCAAAACCACACACTGCTTCGGTTTGAGTTCTCTCCATTGCCCTTCTATCAACAAATTAGTGATATCTAGAATTACGGCAGTTCCTGACAGACGTACTAGATGCCACTCAAAACAAATTTTCAGGGGTGAAATTCTTTTCTGAGCAGGAAAAATGTATGTGGTTTTCCATCAAATTGTTTCCAGCTTTCTGTGTTTTAGCTGTCTCATCCACCTCAAAGCTCTGCATGCGGAACAGCCCACTGTGCTTTAGCACAGAAGACAAAAGGACAACCACATGCTTTTCAGAGGTCCCCTACAATCCCCTAGGAAGACTGCCTCCAGGGACTGCCAGCAAGGCACTTGAAACCCCAGTTATGCTTGCAGGCACATCATTTTAAGTGCTTTGCTGAACCAGGCACAAACCCACTCCCTCTCTGCACAATCCAAATACTTATTAACTCCTGCCCACCAAGAATTATGTCATATCTCGCCTTATCCAGCGGGCCAGAGGAACTTCCTTAGCACTGACTCTCCTAAGTACAAGGGGGGGAAGGCTCACGTTCCCTGCCCTCCTCCTCCCCCCTCCATAAGTCAGGATGTTGTAATCCAACTACAGGAAAACCATACCAAGTCCCTTTGCTCAGGGTGTTTCCAGCCTCACCATTCCTTAAGCATTACTAAAACTGTTCCATTTTCCATGGCTGCAGGCATAACCAGCCAACACATAGCACATCACCCATCATCAGACATCAGGGGCATTTTTTCCATGGACAAAGATGGCTTCAGCAAATCTCTACATAGGAATTACCCTTCACTACACATGAAAAGGCCAAGGGAGAAAAAAAACAACATAGGATTGCTTAACTTTGTCCAAACATCTGTAGCTGTTTAAACAACAGCCAAGTTCAGCCAAAGTTAGCATCAAGCTCTGCAAGCACATCAGGGAACAGCACTCTGATGTACCAGCACGGCTTTCCTACAGCTCTCACTGCTCGTTTCCAAAGGTAAAGTAATAACTCAGCTCAGTCCTCCCCACCCGTAAACCACAGATGAAGATGGACAAGTGATTCAGCTGTAGGACCAGAGGAAAATAAGTTCCTTCGGGAACTTTTGGGCCGGAAGAACCCCAGGCACCCGTACAGGCTGGGAGGAGTGGTCCTTGAGAGCAGCTCGGCAGAGAAGGACCTGGGGGTCCTGATGGACGAGAGACTGAACATGAGCCAGTAGTGCGCTCTGGCAGCTCGAAAGGCAAATGGGATCCTGGGCTCCATCAGGAGAGGGGTGGTCAGCAGGGACAGGGAGGTGATCGTCCCTCTCTACTCGGCTCTTGTGAGGCCCCATCTGGAGTACTGTGTCCAGGTGTGGAGCCCTCAGTACAAGAAAGACATTGAGATTTTGGAAAGGGTCCAGAGGAGGGCGACTAAGATGATCAGGGGGCTGGAGCACCTCCCCTATGAGGACAGGCTGAGGGAGTTGGGCTTGTTCAGCCTGGAGAAGAGAAGGCTGCGGGGTGACCTCATTGCAGCCTATCAATACCTGAAGGGAACCT